ATAATATTACGCTCACGATAACATTAACTACGGTTAACGTTCACCTCGCGATAACTTTACCGCTGCGATAATGTTACAGGCCTTCGGTGTTAACAGGCACAACTCCGGGCGCTTGTGAGCTACGCCAAAGATGAGCTGTTGTACGACACGGCTCACCCAGGAGCTAAGCGCCCACGAGGCAGGCCACGTGAAGACTACCGAAGGGACTACCACGAGGAATGGTAGTCGGGAAGGTAGTCGGGGGGAACTACCTCTGGGACTACCATGGTAGATGGTAGTCAGGGTGGTAGTCAGGCACGAAGGATATATAAGGACGCTCATTACCCACCTGTATCTAGTCTTACTTGTTCTTCGTGATCAATACCATTGTTATTCTAAGTGCTACCTTCAGATCATTCTGATTCAAGACCCTTGCGACAACACTTCGTCTAAGTACTTCTTGACAGGCTTTATCATACGTGGTAAAGACTGGCCTTGCCTTCGTTACGCCTTAGCCACCCCGACCGTGACTAGTCCCCATACTAGTTGGACGTTGAGCATACTTGAGTAAGTCAATCCATCGTCAGGGCTTAGGTCAAGACGATCCCAAGGTTTAGGAAGGCTTGAGAGGTCAACCTTCCGTAACAGTTACTAGCACGCCTATTAGCCTAAATAGGGTGACGTTCCATTTATAAAGTCTATATTATATATAGAAGGCCGTCTTCTATTCTTCTCTAGGTTAAATGCGGATCTTATAAAAAGTAGTAATAATATCTAGCTTTATAAACTAGCAAGCATGGCCTATATTATATAGTATCTCTTATATTAGGAGTAAAGGATAGTAATCCTTAACTATATATTTATTTAACCCATGGTAATTAACATAGAATCGTACGCCTCCGCCTGGCTTCTAGACTAGTAGGATTAGTATAGCTATAGGTGATTAGCTTACTTATATAAAGTTCTTTCTAAGAAGGTCTATAAGTATCTTTTATAGGTAGAGCAGCTCCTCCTTATTTATCCCATAGAGGGGGCTGTATAGTGGTAGCTCTTTAATACTATTCTAGTCCTATTTTAGTAGTATTTTATAGTTAATTCCTAGCTAGTGTGGAGGTAGCTTATTAGCTAGTTATTAGCTAAAGACGTCCACCTATTACTAATAGTACTTTAGTAGCTTATCCTTTAGGTTAATATACTTCTTTAGTTAGAGTGCTTTTTTAATATTATCTAGTAAAACCCTACTAATGCGTAGCTAATTTAGTACTATTAAGCTCTATATTAAATAGTGGATTAAATAAGCTATGGCCTATACTATACGCAGCATTTTCATGTTTATAGGCCTAATTATATGGTTCACGTGATTCTAATATCTTATTTATTCGCCTCCCTTAGTAAAGATATCTAGATACCCCTTCCTAGCTAAGTACCATCCGCGTACGTTGTATAGCCAGGGATCTCTAAGAATCATGCTATCTTCCTATGGTCTAATAATATATATAAATACATGGCCTTGCTAGTGGCCATGTACGTCAAGGTTAAAATACATAGCATGAGTAATTTAGTACTAGTTTAGCACCACTCTATTAAGGACTCGTGGGTGTATCTTAATGCATGGGAGGTCAAGTGCCTAAACTAGAGACTTATTTATAGTTACATAGTAGCGACAGCCGCTATTAATAAGGGCTTTTATAAATTAGATCTTATTTACTCTTGTATTAACTATAAATAGTAAAGTCTTATATTTTAGTAGCTTCTTAATACCCTTTTACTTCTACTTATAGCTTAGAATAGGAGCTACTCTTTTCCTAAATTATTATCTAAAGTTATTTCTTTATTATTAGTAGTTTCTATTAGTTTACTATTACTTATGGGTTTCGCCTTCTTAATATATATTATATACTTATATTTTGTCCTACTAGAGCTTATTACCACGCGTGTATGACTTAGTGGCTGTGCTAGTAATAAGGTATAGCTTATAATAAAATAACCTAATTTTCTATATTATAGGCATATTCCTTTAGCTTATTATCTATTAAGTTTATCCTAGCTAATTTATTATACTTACTTCTAAGGGTTGGCCTCTAATTATTAGGGTTTTATACATGGCTTAGTATAGTTTACCTATATAGTAGGAGTCTAGTCTATCTTATTATCTATTCTTATAGCACGTGAGTTCCTAGTATAATTAATATCTAGAGTATTATTATCCACACTAATCTCGTGGAGTCGTGTAATTAACTCTAGGAAGGTACTAGGGACACCTTAATACCATAGTATTTTAGTTATCTTATAGTTTAGTAATACTAGTAGGACTTATTACTTAGGCTTATCTAGCTATTTAAAGGAACTAGTATTAGTAAATTCCTTTTCTAACTATAGTAGGAATCTTAAAAAGGACTAGTCCTCGTGCTACTATATTAAGTAGAGTTATCTTACTACTCTTACTTTAATATTTAGGTCCCTATAGATATTTTTAAGATAGTTAAGAAGCTATTATAGCTCGTGATTATTTTACTATAGTTTTATAAATAAGTTAGTATTCTTTAGGGCTATCTTCTCTAGCTAGGAGAAGATATATATAAATTAATCTTAAGGACCCCTAATAGCTTTACTATCTACTACTAGCTTATTTTCTATTACTATTTACTAGGATGACTAATTAGAAGAGCTCCCTATAAATATTACTAGGTCTAGAAGCCATAGTTAAGGGTATTATACTACTATCCTTGTTCTATTCTCTATGGCTTTAGTTTTACTTTATAAGGGGTCTAGTAGTATTTTATTAGGAATTAATATATTCTAGAGTAATACCTTAAATCTTTTAATCTATTTATCTTGTGCTATATTCTATTTATTCTATGCTATTATAGCGCTCTCGTACGTAGCATGGCTCTAAGCGATTTATTATATTAGGGTCTAAGCCTAGCTAGGGGGACTAGATAATTTACTATTCCTTACTATTCTTTACTAATATTCTATTCTAATATTCTAATATACCTAGGAATGGGACCTTCTAGGGCTTTTATATATATCGCGAGTACTAAAGTGTTATACGCGAATTTTCTATTCTAATATGCATCCATTACTAAATCACTTAGGATTTAGGGTTATTTTTAATAAGTGCCTAGGTCGTCCTTCTAGGGCTTTTCTAATATACCGCGAGCACTATAGTATTATGCGTGAAGGTTCTATTCTAATATATGTCTATTACTAAATCACTAGGGGTTCAGGGGTTATGTTACGTACATTATTATTTTAAGTATTATTTATTTACGTTTCATTCCATTAGTTTAATAATTAAGAATCGGAAGCTTTTTATATATAAAGGGCTGAAGCCGGACTTATATTTAATCTAGCTAGGCCACGAACTATGTATGAAAAGCTTGAAGAAAGAGAAGTTCTCTAGTCACGTTCTTCCCATTAACATGCCATGGTCACGTGTGCGGGCGCTAGCCCGTGCCTGGTATCGGGCACTGGCCCGTGACAGTTGACTTTATCCTAGGGAGCTATATATATGGCATGGGGTCCTCTTGGGTCGCCGCTCTAGCTTGCACTTTAGCAAGGCCTAACAGTTTATTATCCTCACTTGTAGCAACCTAGTGGATTATAATCCTATTTCTATTTTTCCACAGTCTTCTGATTAGCTTATATATCAGGCAAACGTGCTCCTGGCCCGACTATTATCGCGGGTTCCCTAGTGTGAGTGCGGCCGCTTTATTACTTGTTAGCAGCGTGATTCTATACAATTTTAGTACTAGTAGCGTCTTTAATGCGTGTGCCATTGCTGCCAGCTCTCCCAAGTATGGGTTCTGCTCCGATCTTGCGCCAAGTGTGATGGAGAAGGTCTTTAGTCTTGGCTTCTTATATTTCGATATCTTAACTACCCCGGCACGAGGGGCGATCAAGGTATAAGAATTGCCTAATTAAAAAGCCTAAGACCTAAGCTCGGGGTATTTATAGCCTAAGATAAATTATATAGCATCTCATGCCTCTTCATACTTAATAGTCTAGTAGCTTATATTCTTAGAAGCATCTATAGTCTAATCCTAGAGTAAAAATTATAAGGTCTAGATAATATACTTTAGCGCTAGTAATAATGCTAAGGATTCCCTAAAGAAGGACGCGTTATAATAATATAGTATATTACCTATAGACACACTTCATCACCTTGCTTGTATAGGAATACTCCTAAATCCTTCCTTGTTTAGAGAGACTAGTTAAACGTGGAAAGCAAGTTAGCAAGCCTTATAATTTCATAGTTACTCGTTACTTAGGGAACTCGGCTTAGGTTCGCCTGCTGCTAGCTATAGTCAAAAGAGTGGTTGCTTTTCCTATCCCCAGGGTAAAGAATTGAAGAGAGGGTAGTAGAGGCCGCAAATAGTTAAAGAGTTATATAAGCACTTTAAAAACAGAAAAAGTAGCCTGGCTTAAGCTAAGATGCGCTCGACCAACAAATTGCTAAGGAGCAACAACGCATTAACCTGAAATAGGAAACTTTTACATGAGACGCATCCACTTTTACGAGCTGCACAGCCGCCCTTCTCAAGCCACTAATAACTCAGAAGCCCACGGCGCTAAAACGGCGAGACAAGTTCATGGGGCGATGGCTCGTATTCGTGCCATTTTAGGGCTTTGAAAGAAAAAAAAAAAATGCTCGGATCGTCAATTCCATTCTGCTAAATCAAGCTGCTTACGCGAAATTGCGATGAGTCGATGCAACGAATCGGAGAGCGAGGTCGCTGGTTTCCGGAGGCTGAACCATGTTTCGCTGGGCATCGCATTCGCGTACCTGACTGGAAAATAGCACAAACAGACCTCCTATATAAAGATCGTGTCCAGATGCAGGAAGCTTCGTTAATCACATTCGCACTGTCGCATTCCTATCTTCACAATGAAATTTCTCCTCCTCATTCTCCCCTTAGTGTTCGCTCTCTGCGCACAGGCCGCAGAGTGGCACGCCCACTACCGCATGACCTCTGATGAATACCAGTCGACTGCCGATTACTACGTTGGCCAGGGTTACCGAATCAAGTCCGTAAGCGGGTACGAGCGCGACAACGAGGACAACTACGCCGCGATTTTCGAAAAAAACAATGGAGTAGCCTGGGTCTCACACCACCGAATGACCTCCGCAACCTACCAGACCAAGTTTGGCAAGTACGTCGCGGCCGGGTATCGCCTCCGGCAGGTCAACGGATACAGCGTCAACGGCAACGTCTACTTTGCCGCCATTTGGGACAAGTCCCCTGCCCCCGGCGCATGGGTGGCTCGCCACAACATCAACGGTGCCTCTTTGCAGAAATGCACCGATACGTATATTGCGCAGGGATACAAGGTCACGCACGTCAGTGCCTACGAGGTGAATGGTGAGGCGCGCTTTGCGGCGCTGTGGGAGAAGGTCAACGACGGAACAGCCTGGTGGGCGTGGGCCAAGATGACCGCAGCGGAGTATCAGAAGAAGTTCAACGCCTATTTAAAAGACGGGTATCGCCTAATCAACGTAAACGGTTATGCCATTGGCAATACGGTCTACTACGCTGGTATCTGGGACACTTCCGCCGCGTCCGGAGCCTGGCTTGCACGCCATGGCATGGATTCGGCTACCTTCCAAAGCCTCTTCGACAAATACAAGGCTGCTGGCTACGTGCTTCAGGTTCTGAGCGGATATAATACTGGGACTGCGGACCGGTATGCTGCGCTTTGGATCGAGCCCTGAGCTTTAGGGTGATATCAATCTTGTTTAGGAAGCTGAAATGAATAGCAAGCTGGGTGAAACAAAATGACAATTCTGCGCTTCTATGCTACTTTATCAGATTCATATTCTTGTCTGACGGATTATGGTCGACGTTGGGAAAGAAAATATTACGGCGAAGAATAGGTCGTTAGATTCTGGCGTTCGTGAAGCTGCATGGGAATGAGGGTGCGACTAGTCCGAGAAATGCTGAAAAGCTAGAGCAAATGATCAACTTGGAGGCTGTTTGAGATAAAATCTATAAGATGGGTGAATACTGCTGTTAGACCAGATAGTTCCTCCCCCCCTCCCCTACCCGATAATCGGCTCTTGTGCCCTTGCGAAAGAACCAGGATCGCCGAAAGCTTTCCACGGAACCTCAACCAGCTTAGCGCACAGAGGAGGGTACGCTACCGTAACTTCCAAATTCGCAAAGAGCTTTCTAATTTTTCCCCGCGGGTGCGGTCGAAGAATTGACAAGCATGAGTCAGACGTCAGTCGAGGGGCTGAACGGTAGCCAGGGGGTCCTTTCTTTCCCAGCGTGGCTATTCAATCAATGGTCATCACCAGGATTAAAAGATGGTAAAGTAACATTGGCCATCAGGGGAAAGAAATCAAAACAAGTGGTTTCTCATACCGAACCATGGGTTCCAGCTAAAACAGACCTTAACGACGCTTCTGATGCCTATTTTAATTTCAATCTTAACCCCGAGAGCATCTAGCATATCTTGAGGTCGACATTAGCTATTTTAGTTTTAAGTCCCATAGGCCGTGTTCAATAAGCACTCACTGTCCCACGGTTAAACATACGTTAGGATATAAATAATATTGGTAGTCAACCATAATTGGGCACCCTTACTACTACTCTGCTATTACAGGTTTTAGAATCGAGTCAAAACCTAGGACAAGGTGTCTTAAGAATATTAGTTCCTTTAGCAGGGTAGTAAGAAAGGCCAAAGCGCTAAAGCGGGTGAATCCACTGTAAACTAAGGGACATAGCCAGAGTCGCGCTGAATGTGCTGTTCCCTTAGTGATCAATCATTCAAACAGGCTCGCGGCCAACAAGAGCCTATTTTTAAAGAACCTGGATCCTAGGCACTCAGCTGGTCGAAATCGCAAACGTCCCCATTGACATTGAAATCTGATCGAGCCAGTTCATCGGTCGATCATCCCCAGAAAACGGCCCTTCAATAAACTGGCTTGTCTTAGGTATTTCGCCGCCCCAGGGGAGTTCGAAACTACGACCCTGCCCTGAGCGATTTTTGTGTGCCTCTAGCAAAACCAGTAACTGGTCATACAGTGCAAGTCCCGCGCAAATCCCCTGAAGACAGACTGTGGCAGTAGCGTAGACATCCTCGCTCCTAAGTCCAGGCACCGCGCACGAGCTATCAACCTCTTTTAATTTGAGATCCTCCCCTGATACAGAGGCGAACTGGCGCTGGAGGTTGCGCAGGATATCGCGGCTATGTTGAATGCGCGAGGTCAGCTCGTGGCTTGAGAGGTCCGCCTCGCCGTGTTTAATCAGCGCGCTGGTATGTGACAGCAGTCCAGGCCCCAGACTAATCTCGTTAAACGCCTGCTCGACGAGTTTGCTAACCCATGATCCCTTCCCATTCCGATCATCGTGAACGTTAGCTTCATGGTTTGCGGTGCGCCAGTCATGCTGTTCAAGGAACGACGGCTCTTGCCGAATAAAGGCATCCGCGAGAAGAAACGAGCGGATCGTGATGAACATGGTTCGTGGGAAGCCACTACTGTGTATGCGTGCCCCGCGGAGTTGGAACAGTGAACCGATTCCCCGCGAGTGAATCAGCCACGAGTGCGGGGTGAGAGGATCCAGCATCTCGAAGACGCTGAGCATGACCGCAGTCGCCATTGTGATGTCCGACGTTCTTGTCTTCGGGTTGGCGACCAGCCCTGCAAGGCATCGGATCCCGCCGCCATAGACGTACCGGCTTGCATCGATCGCGACTGGGTCTTTGTACTTTGCGCCTAGATACCAAGTTGTCAAGCATCGCAGTGCGCGCTCGATCGGCTTAGTCTGCGCAGCTTGGTGGTACTTGATGAACTGGATCCAGTTCGGCTCTAGGCGCGGTGCAAATGTGGCGAATGTCAGTGGGAAGGTCGCGTGTACTACGTATTCAAAGACCTCTTTTGTTTGGTGGTCAAGAGCCTTTCCAGCGAGGCTTGGGCAAAGGGTATCATCGAAACTGGGTCGGCTAATGAGCGCGAGTGCACGAGCGGCATCAGTATTTTCCTGTGTTCCCTGCTTTTTTGAGTAATCTCTTGCGTCGGTAAAGTCATCTTTCCCAGTCGTTCGGTTGTAGAATTTGAGTGCTCTCCGGTAGCCGGGACATTGTATGCCGCGGGTCTGGCAGCGGTGACAATCTGGACGGGTGCGGTCACACTAAGGCGATTATGACAGGTAAGATTGTGAGCACAGTTTACTTGTGTATCGAATTGCAGGATAAGGAGCAGCATAACAACGGCGTACCTTGACACGGCGCTGCAAACACTCCACACAGCCGCTGCTGCGGGGGACGCCGACCATTGAAACTGCGTGGAGCAGTGGCCACTTGAAGGTGTTGTCGCTCGAATGGCGTGAAAGCGAAGCAAGATACGTAATCCTTGATTGTGGAAGAAAGCGATTGTACGAGGCTCCGCTGGGATAAAGTTTGGGCGCGTTGTCTTGCTGCAAAGAGCGAAATGTTCTCGAATACGAGACTGGGAGATTTGGCGTGCGAGATTGCAACCACTGTGTGCCAAGCACCCCACCTGTGCCGCATGCCAACTCAAGAACGACTCAGCAAGAGCATAAGATGGGAAAGGAGGGAAAAAAAGAGCTAGCTGCCTCAAAAAGGTGGGATTGGTCCCACGGCTTTTTTCGGAGGTTAACGGGTTCGATTCTCGTCCCCGGCACCACATTTACCACCATAGCCGTCTCTATGTGGAGAGACCACAAATGAGGTACTAGAGTACCACCTTAAAATGCAATCACAAGCCTCTCAGGTGAAGCGGTGTGCTGTCCTTTATCGCCCCCCATCGTGTCCGCCACGGACGTCCACGTCGTCGGCCTGTTCGAGGAATTTATTGGGCGATCTCTAGCCTCCCATAAACCCCTGCTGCGTGAAGTGATAGGTATACGTCTCGCTAGGGGATAGTGTTGTTGTCGGCTGCGGGTGTTGCAATCGCGTGGAAAGGGTCCTCTTTATCGTGCTCGCCATTGTACTTTCGCTCGATCCGAATTCTGGTTGTTGACGGTGAAGCTCTCTTCACGCCACCTGAAGGCCGCTGTTTGGACCTAATAGGATGCATCGTCTGGCTTGCAGTCAACCACGACCTACGTGTGGGCGCAAGCACAAAGGATGGAAGAAGACAGACATCAACGTGCCCAGGTCTATGTGTACTCCGCATTGGGAGCTACTCGTATTCCAAAGACTAAATGGAGTCATGGAAGAATTTTTGAACTGAACATCGTACCAGTGCTTGTTGTTCCATCTTTCGCTCTTTTGTCGTCCAGGGCTGCTGTATGATGGAGTGTCAACCAAAGATCATGGTCTGCTGGATTTAAAGTCGAACCAGTGGGGGCATCTCGATACCAACCGAATCATCAAGGGCTAAGAGAGCAGCAAGGATGTCTTTTCACTTTTTAGAGATTGAGAGAGTGTGACAGCTCTCAGTCTGCGTGATACATATATTAGCAGCTTATGAGACTTGCTTGCTACCCTCCCTGCATGTACAGACCGAGCATGCAGTAAGGTTCGAGGACTATCAAGTACCATTTCAAGCGGATCGATAGAGGGATCATACAGGGCCAAGAAAGGGATTGCCTAACAGCTGAGATGGATACGGACTGACTTAAGAAAAATGATTACTACATGAAAGCTGCTAACTACTGGTCAAAAGCCTATTGCTGCTTGTGAGCGATAACTGTCTGACCGCCTTCTAGTAATTTCCTGGGAAATTGGTGCGACTGAAATGAAATAACGCATTGCCTACAGCAAATTCAGATTCGAACGTGTTGATAGTTGCTACATTCTTTGTTTCCAGCCAACTTCTTGATTCTTTCTTTGATACATCCAATGGGCCCTTCGACAAGAGGGACGGCGCACGAACAACACCACTCAATTGCTTCTGCTCAAGGCGGTGTCACGGCAGTACAGTCGGTGATCACCTGACGCCCGGTCCCACCTGACGCCCGATTTCACCACCACCAGCGATATCGAATATGAAGCAATTCAACCACATATAATTATTATTATCGCGTGATCTTTTAGTGGATGAATATAGTCATTATTAGGACTCTATATACAGTTTTTAATTGGTCCGAAAGCGCTGTGGGAGCCGGATCTCGCGGCCTCGACGATTTACTATTAGAGGGGCCTCTAGGACTTCTATAGGCGTTGTTAGCCTGGTTTCTATAGATTTTTACTAGCGTGAAGCTTTAGAGACCTTCTTTAGAGTCTTCTTCACCTGCTAGAAGTCATTTTAAAGCTAGCGATCCGCCTCCTTTACTAGGCGAGCATCCTCCTTTTGTTATTTCTTTCGCTCTGCCTCTAGCAGCCGTAATTCTCGCTGGGATGCTCGATTTCTCTTTCGCTCTTCAAGCAAACGTTGTTTCTCCTCTTTAGCAAGCTGTTGATGGACCTTCTCTTGCTCCTTTGACGCCTTGGCGAGTTGTATAGCTTCATCCTTCTGCGTTTAAAGATCACGAGCCTGCTGAACCTTTTGAGGAGAGTAAAAAACTGCACCACCATTCTTAGGGGCCGCGAGCTCAAACTACAAGGGCTTCCCACGTTGACGCTTCTTCTTCTCATTCTGGAGGGCTGATTCGAGGCCTTGGCAACGTAGTTTCAGGATAATATTCTCTGTAGAGAGGTGATGCATCGTTAAGCTCAACTTCTTGGTGTTTTTATTATATATATTGGTGACAACTCGATTTAAAAGCTTCTCGATCTTCCGCTAGTCCTCTGCCTGTAGGATAGAGCGCGAGGAATTGCTTGAGGAGGGCCTAGAGTCTTTCTGCTTGTTAAATCGAACTAGAACTATTTCTGGATTCAGCGGCCATATCCCCATAGTTCGCCATGAAGAAAGGATATTACTCGTTGATAAGGCCTGTTCCCAGGCTAGCTAGAAGAGGCGGAAGAAGTCCCGTTTAGTAATATAACTAAGGCCCATCGATTTATGTAGAAAGTCCTCGAGATTCTTGCTATAAGCGGTGGAGAGAGGGCTAAAGATCCCAACATCAAGCGGCTGCAGCGAATGAGTTAAATAAGGCGGATATGTCATTAGTAGGATCCTATTAGTGTCGCAGTAATCAATAAACTTCATGGTAAGGTAAGATCCGTGACCATCAAGGATAAGAAGCCTCCATCACCTGCGCGCCTTGTCCTTGGTCTCGCGGTCGAATATATTAGTCAACCAGGCGTATCCTAGCTCATTATTGGTCCAACCACTTGCAGAGGAGGCGAAGAAGCAAGAATGAAGCTCAGGATCAAAGTCTTGAAGCCAGGAATCTTGTATATTACCAGTAGAAGCCTGGTAAATAAGACCCAGTAAGAGAGAGGTTCCGTTAGCGCAAATACAAGCAATTAAAGTTATCCACTCGCGATTCCCATCCTATAGGCGTTGCTTAAACCCTCCCCTAGTTATATATTTCTGCTTCGAGAAGATCCTGAGGCCTTTAACCAGCATTCTAATAAGAAATCCTTTCTCGTCCATATTATAGATATCCTCTGGCCGTAGCTCGTATTGCTGCATCTTCAGGCTTAAAAACTCAAAATATAGAGTGTATCTGTATGCGGAATCAGCTCGTTTTCGCGCGGCATCGATAGCTGTTGTATAGGTTAAGATAAGGTCATCTTAGTAACGCTTTATAAAGCGCCAAGGCAAGTATTTTCAAGGCTTCTTGCCAGTAATTTCCTTTGCAAAATTCCGAAGCATCTCATGGGACGTGAAGAGGCCTCGCTCGGTAAGCTTATTAATATAGCTTATTAGTTCTTTTTCATGTTGGTTGGTAAGAACTCGCTATTGCTCATATTAGTGGTCCCTAGGGCGCTGTACCCCGCGGTGGCGTCTTGATAGCGTTATCTGATCAACACCAAACTCTTTCGCAATCTTAGTATAATTAATTGAATCGCTAATCTTCAACGAGTTGATTGCTTCTATCGCGGCTTCAATTGAACCCATATTGATTGAGATATAAGCTGTTGAAAATTATCGAAAAAACAGTCGGTGAGGGGAAATCGGGCGTCAGGTGGGACCGGGCGTCAGGTGATCACCGACTGTATCCCAGGATACTGCCGCAAACCATTTTCTCTCACAGATTCTCTCCTTTGGGGGAGCCTGAATGTGAAACGCATATAGGGCAAACTTCTGCTTGAGGTTAAATAGACATACGCGAAGACTATTGCCAAAGCTTCTTGTCGCATTATGGTACAAAATATATAACTATCGAGAATCATAGAATTACTATGTCCCATAGATAACGTAAATCCGGCCGTTCCGCCCCCCTCAAAGTACTTACATAGTGAAATGGGACCTGTCAAGCGCCCGGTCCTCTACCTAAGCATAAACAGACTAAGCCCACTGCCATTAGCATCCCACTTCCAACTCGTATTCGACCCACCGCAACCCTCTTGGCACTCAGCCGCTCATGGCATCCTGCACATCAACTGATTTAAGTTAATGCAGAGAGGGATTTATCTTACATACTCTTTTCTTGGAACCCATCGCAATGGCCCGCACTCATCAGGAAGCATACTACAAAGACTTGCATAACTACATAGTCAGATACAAGCGCATAAAGGCCAAGGAGACCCGCCTTGTAAACTAAACATAAACACTCCCCGTCCTCGCCCACGAACAACCCTAAGACTAAGAATTTAACCCCTAGGGCCCTAGACAGTCATACTCCGCGCTGTAAACCTGCTCCCGCCTTAGAACCACTTGAAGCTACCCGCAATCGCAAAGCCCCCTCTTCGCTAAACTCCCGCCTAAAGTCCAAGCATTAATCTAGGGAGCGCTCCTTAGCGGGCTTAATATTCAGATTTTCCCCTAGAGACATCCGCGGGGTCGTATCCCGCGGGTCAATAATAAGTGTGCATGTGCGGGTAAGGAAAGGCATGCGTGTCTAGTACTTGGGTGTAGAATCATGCTAGAAGGAGGTAGGGAGGAGGTGCCAAGCCCAAAGCTAGATCTCCTAGCAATTATGAGGAGCTATTAGTAGGTATATATATACCTCTTCTCTCCCTTCCTACCTACCTACAAAGGTATTAATTTAAGATAGGTATACTAAAACCCTCCCTATGCTATACAAGGCTAACACATTCACCTTCACCCTATTTAATATCCTCCCGCTATTCTGGGCCTTAATTCTAGATTCACACTAGACTCTTATCTACTCTATACACGTGGTAAATAATAATATCCTATGGCATGATAAGTAGCGCGTAGAGGTTTTTTAGCTTGCATGTAAGGATGTTCTTTCTCTCCACGGGCTACGCGAGCTTACGTTTCAGGTGAAGAGGGGGGATTAGTATAAAGGTAGTAATCATAATAGGGAGTTTAAAGGGTTACTTAATGCTTTACAAGCACTAAGGAGTCTTTAAGGGGTGAGGCGTGTAGTTAAAGTTAAGGGGCTGTTAAAGCTGCAAGGGAAGCTTTTAAGGAGTATAGGAACGGGGATATGTGGGAAGTAAGGATAGTAAGTGTCTAGGGGACGAAGAATCTAAAGTCCTATACATCCTTTTTCCTAGACGCGCTTAATTAACTGACTGTCTCTTCAGTATGAAGTAGTATAAACATGATTTAGGATGTGATTTAACTACTAATTTAGGGCTTATTAAAATGTAGTATCTATAAATTCGTCTATCCATTGAGTCCATGAATCCCTAGCTTGTATTCAATCCTGCTCTTCTTGTGCCTGTCAAACAGCGCGCGTGGATCCAGCTCTGAATATGTATTCACACAGAAAGTTACACCCTATAGTTTAGTTATAATCTTTGATTCTTTACTACCTACTCTACAATATTTGACCATACTAAAGCACCCAGACCAATGCCTCTCCAATTCACGCGGGTAATAACATTATTCTTATCTCTGACGGCGGCTACAGCGGCTCCGCTGGCCATTGGAGCCGCTTGGTTGAATCTAGCGCGTTTAGGGACTAGTAAAGGTGTTGTCTATGATACCGAGCGATATCTCGCACGAGATGCATTTACGGAAGGCGTAGCGGACCTGTAGGCTATATTCAATTAAGACTCGTCTCCCGTCGTGGTTGACGCGTCAGGACCGGCGGCTTTTTCACCACCACATTTTGCCGCGGAGCCTTGGGGATAGCCTGTTTTCCGGCCTTCATTTCTGATGGCTGCCATGATGGTGATGGTCTTTTATGGTACATACGTACGAGCCTGCTTCTAGCCAGGCAAGGGGGGTGGGTTGGGGTAAGGGATATTGTTCGGGCGGAGATCATATGGGATGACGCGTGGTTCGGCCTCATCTAAGATAAGGGCACGCTTCGGAGGCATAGGAGGAGGTATGTTTGCGGTGCGTACGAACTTGGCTTCGGAACGCAACATTACGCACCCATTTTTTGATACGTCAAACCCCTGTATCTCGTAAAAGTGGATACCCCTCGTGTACAAGTTTCCTGTTTCAGGTTAATGCATTACTACTACTAGGCAATTTGTTAGTTAAGGGCATCTAAGCTTAGGCTAAGCCACTTTTTCTATCTTCTAAATGCTTCTATGACTCTTCACGTGTTTGCGGCCTCTGCTATCCTCTCGTCAACTTAACCCCCAGGGGACAGGAAAAACAACCACATTTATTTCCCGTCCTCTCTTGACAGGTTCCCCTAATAACGAGGCATTAACTATGATATTATGACACTCGCCAACTTGCTTTCCGCGTTTGACAAATCTCTCTAAACCAGGAGGGATTTAGGAGTATTCCTACACAAGCAAGGTAATAAAGCGCGTCCATAGGTAATATACTATATTATTATGACGCGTCCTTCCTTAGGGAATCCTTAGCGTTATTACTAGCGCTAAAGCGTATTGTCTTAACCTCTTGACCTTTACTCTAGGATTAGACTATAGATGCCTCCAAGAATGCAAGCCACTAGACTGTTAAGTACGAAGAGGCATAAGATGCCATATGATTTACCTTGGGCTGTAAATATTCCGAGCTCAGGTCTTAGGCTTTCTAATTAGGTAATTCTTATACCTTGATCGCCCCTCCTGCCGGGGTAGTTAAGATATCGAAATATAAGAGGACAACTCTATTGGTGGAGAAAATGCCCATAATCTAAGCCATGCTTATCTTGACTCACTTATTATTTCTGGACGTCAGGTTGATTTGGGCTCAAGGTAGCTGTCAGCAACCTACGGTGCGAAACAATTCTGGGTCATAACCCGCCTTGTATCTTGTTCAGTGTGCCTTATCTCCGACATGGCTATAAATGAGCACTCCATCTACTTTGCTGGGTACACTTCTGTTTCTGTCATTTCGCGGCCTGCATGGTAAAAAATGCCCACCAAATACGAAGCCGTCCATACCTCTCCTTCCGGTCCGGGGGACGGTCGACCCACCGCGCTCCAAATCGTTCAAGATGAGAAGATGACGGGCAAGCTGATCGGAAAGACAGTGCTGATAACTGGCTGCTCCTCAGGCATCGGGGTAGAAACCGCCCGTGCCTTATACAGCACCGGCGCAACCCTGTACCTCACTGCACGCAACATCGCCAAACTACGCAGAGCCCTCGCAGATATCGTAGGTAACCATCAGCGAGTTCACCTGCTGCAACTGGACCTCGACTCGCTAGACTCTGTTCGAGCCTGTGCCACGGAATTTCTGGCGGCTAGCTCGCGCCTCAATGTCCTGATTCAAAACGCCGGCGTCATGGCATGCCCCGAGGGCCGGACCAAGGACGGGTACGAGCTCCACTTCGGCATCAACCACTTGGCGCATTTCCTCTTGTTCTACCTGCTAAAGGATACACTGCTGGCCTCCGCGACGCTGGAGTTTGCTTCGCGCGTGGTGATTCTCTCGTCTTCTGCGCATCGGCTCACGACTAAACTTAATTTCAACAATAACGTATCTCTACTCCCAGACGAAGAGGCCTATGACCCATGGAAAGCATACAGCGCAAGCAAGCTCGCAAATATTTTCACGGCAAACGAAATTGAGCGGCGCTACGGCGCCGCCAGCGGGGAAAGAGGACTTCTCCACGCCTATAGTGTTCATCCGGGGTCGATCGTGACAGAGCTGGCGCGCCATGTCTCTGTCGAGCAGCAGGCAGCGTGGGACCGGAACGAGACAGTGGCAAAGCTACGCAAGAATGCGGAGCAAGGGGCAGCAACGACTGTTTGGGCGGCCATAGCGCCGGAATTAGAAGGTCGGGGAGGAGAGTATCTGGAAAATTGTGCTGTTGCTGGCCCGTGTGGCCCAGGGGCAGACAAGTATGCGCCAGGGTATGCGATTTGGGCGCGAAATAGTAGCGCAGAAGCGAGACTCTGGGCGAAGTCAGTGGAGCTGCTTGATTTGGAATGAGTAGTAGCTAGGTATTTAGATAAATAAATACAAGTGATGACCTCCATTCCTTAATTACTTGCACTTCTTGCCGAGCTCAGTAGCAACATTTGCTCGAATAAAACATATAAATCTTTATACAATGGGAGCGAATCACTCCCTACTTATCAGGCTTTGGTGCACTGGGGTGTCTAACCCGGATTTGCTTAATGGTGTCCCCAAAGAAGCTCTAGCAGACTAAAGCTGGAGGCCGGATCCCTGTATTGGCCGCGACCTGGGGTTAATTGGTGCATAGCCACACACAGATCACTCAATCAACAACATCATGAGTAGAGACGTGTGACATTATGTGGAAAGATGGCTTCTGAAACTCTGCGGCCGTTAACGCCCACAAAGGCAGACGACGACAACGTTTTCTTCTCCAAGTCCCCACTGCACGGCTCCTTCCTTCTCTTACTTCCCGTGATTAAAAGCCTGCATCCGGAATTAGACGCTCTAGAATCTCGAGGAAGATCATGCTTCGTTTATGCGAAAACGGATGGAAATTGCAGGGCTAGTATTAATCTAGACCGACACCGTTGCTGGCAAGCAATAGCATCATGACTCCCTCATGCCCAGCCTGAGCAGCGACAGACGCTGCAGCCAGTCCGTCGCTGTCTACGGCGCTTGGATCAGCTCGTCCGTCGGCAAGCAATACCTTCACCACTTCCTCATGTCCGCTTCTCGAAGCAACAATCAGTGGCGTGTCACCGTAGTTATCCCTGGACTCGGGGTCAACATCACTCTTGGCGAGAAGAAGCTTAACGACAGCTAGCTGACCATGCTCCGCGGCCGCGGAGAGAGGCGTCACGCCATGAGAATCTGTTACGTCAGGAGTAACGTCACGTCTAGCAAGCAAGAGGGCAACAACATTCTCATGCCCATTCTCCGCGGCCTGGAACAAGGGTGTTCGACCCGCTGCCTTATTGTTGTCGGGCTGGACACCGGTTGCGGCGAGCAACAGCTCCACAATTTTGGCGTATCCCCGCGCAGCAGCCGCTCCCAGTGGCGTGGCGCTCTCATCGTAGCCGTTTGGATTGACCCTCCCGCTCTCAAGCAGGAGCGCCACCACCCCCGTGTGCCCATTCTGCGACGCTTCGAGTAGCGGGGTAGCCCCCCACACATCTCTTGAATCAGCGTCCACACCATCCTTAGCAAGCAGTACTGTCACAACTCGCTCATGCCCGTTTCTTGCAGCCAGCGCAATCGGCGAGGTTCCGACCTGGTCTCTGGCGCGCAAATCGATGTCCCGTCTCGTTAGCAACATGTCCACCACCGCGTCAAAACCACAAGAAGCAGCGACAATCAGCGGCGTGCGCCCAAAGGCCCCCCTGAGATTAACGTCAACGCCATCAGCCGCAAGGAGCACCTTGACCACAGCATCGCTCCCGTGCGACGAGGCCACTAGGAGCGGAGTCTCCCTGTTGAGGTTTGCGTGCTGAGCGCTGGCACCTACGAGCACCGAATTCCGAGCTGTGGGTGCGCTGTTGTGCTCGGCAGCCCAAAACAGGGCATAGCTGTTGGAATGCTGGGCGTTGTACTGGTAGAGATGGGTGATGAGGAGATTGTAGGTTCGACGGCTGGTTTGGCAGTAGGCGTTTATGTCGCGCTCGGATGTAAGGTATGTTGCGATTGACTGGAGGAGTTCGTCGGGGAGTCGGAGGAGCATTGTTTCGACGTCACTTGTGCTCAGAGTTACCTTGGGTGGAAGCTGAGAAACTGTTAAGATGTGGTGAGGGCCACTCATTAATGGTGTAGTTAGGGACCCCAAGATACGGGGAAGGGATTGATCTTCAGGAGCCATCTTACCTCCAGGGCCTAATGACTCCTTCTATTCCCTGAGAGGCTTATTAATGCTAATATGAGATGCCATGCTATTGGAGGAGAGAAGATAAGTGAATCTAAGAAGGCAACTGCCCTAGCGATGGAAACCTTTTTCTAACTACGTACATTGAATAGCTCTTGCACATGTATTCCACGAAATTTTTTTATTTTTTTTTTTTCGGACGATAAAAAAGAAAAAGAAAAAGAAAAAAGAAAAACCTGGTCTGGTGTACTAACAAAAGCCAAGTCGTAGTAAGAGAAGCTTTCGATTGAACTCAACATCCGCGCTGTTTTCTGTGCATCGCATTATAAGATAGGGTCCAAATAATCTGCTCGAGGCCGAGAACTCCCTTTGGCTTGATTCAAATGGGTCTGAAAGGGCTACCAATTCTCCTTTTCCGAAATTGCAATCCTCAGCAGCTTGCGTAACTCAGCACTATCCTCCGCCCCAGCCTCCGCCAAAATCTCAAACGCCCGCTGGTTCCCACCATACGCAGCCTCATACAGCGGCGTCCGGGCCCCGTTCTCTCCAGCCAGCATGCCAACATCTGCTCCGTGCTCCAACAGAAGCTCAATGACATGCGAACTCCCTTGACTCGCAGCTGCGTGGAGCGGGGTCCATCCCCATGATTCGTCACGTAGATTTACCGCAGCGCCGTGATCCAGCAAGACTTTCACGACCTCCGTGTGCCCATGCTTAGACGCATGGTGGAGGGCGGTATATGATAGCGGCCCACGCTGGTTGACCTCAGCGCCTTGCTTGAGGAGATACTGGACGATATCTGGCCTATTATAATAAGCTGCTGCATGGAGCGTGTGTCGAAGCTCGTAGTGTAGTAATGTGTGGGGGTACTCGATTCCAGTAGTAGTCTGGCGGAGCGGGAGGATGCCATGCAGGTCAGCGCCGAGCGTGGCCAGCTTCTGAACAGTAGACAGCCTTCCCCCGTAGATGGCACCGTAAAGGGCGGATAAGAGATACATAGGGCGGTTCTCCGCGCTCTCGTCCCAGTCCAGGAGCCGGTGGATAACATCATCGTGTCCGTACCGCCCCGCTAAGCAGATCGCATGCCGAATCTGGAAGGACCGGACGCTTCCAGTTACAGTCCATGTAACGATCATGCGTTGCACCATGTTCGCGTGGCCGCTCTGCGCCGCTTGGACTAGCGGACTGGAATAGTCGATGGGCTCCTTGACCTTGTCCAGCGCATAGTCCATCAACGTATTAAATAACGGTGCGTTCCCCGTTTTCGCTGCTTCCGCAAGCGCGCGGTCCATTACCTCTGGGTGAAACCCATCTGGCGCGTGCTTGAGGAGAAGCTGGGTCAAACTAAGGTCCTCCCTAATCGTTGCCTTGAATAAGACACCCGTTGGGTTAACCATGCCGTTTGCCACCCGCGCACCAGCGGCAAGGAGGGTCTCGACGGTCTCGCGGTGGTTGTGCTCCACTGCCAGGGACAGGGGATAGATTTCTTCAACGAGCAACTCATCTACGTCAAATCCACGATCCGCTTTCAGCAACGCCCGAATAACGGCGGCGTGCCCGTGCTCGGCCGCTGCCATCAATGGGGAGAACTTTACACACGCTTCCCTCTTCGCACCGCATGCAAGGAGAAGCTCCGCTATCTGTGCCTGTCCTCGCTCAGCAGCAACGTCCAATGCCGTCTTCCCCCTGATGAACGAGTTCATCGGCTCGCGCTCGCGGACGGTCTTCATCGACTGCCACTCCATCCACCCGCAGTGCTTGCAGTCTGCGAGCAGCTTGAACGCTCTACGCTGGCAGTCCAGGCATCGGAAAGCGTAGTTTACATCCACTCCGTTATCCAGCATCAGCCGTACCATTTCCAGATCCCCATTCTCCACCGCGACGAAGATCGCCGACATCCAGTATCCCGCGCGCGGATACCAGCTCACAAAGGGAAGATAGCGTCGGCTGTTTAGGAGGACTCTGACTGTCTCGTAATGCTTATTCTTCACCGCGAGATGCAGCGCCGTCACGGGGCTGCCAAAGAACCCCGTATGCTCTGCATGGAGTTGTCTGAGCTCAGGGGCCGCTGTCTCTGGGCAGACCCGGGCGTTGGTCCTGCGTAGGAGGGTCTTGACTAGGGATATATGACCATGTTTAGCTCCGTACTTCAAGGCGATATCGCTGAGTTCCTGCTTCTCCGTTCCTGGAGCGACTCTCAGAATTGCAAAGACCTCGGTCTCGTTGTTGTTGGCGGCTGCGGTCGCGATGGGATGGAAGCGATCAGTTTTCTGGGGCCAGGGCCACTCCATGGTGAGTTCCTGGAGTATATAGCTGTTGGGCTATTCTTGAGAGAGTTCAAGGCAATGCTTAGCTACATATATAGCCAATGTTTCCGCGAGTTACATGTGTTGCTACTGCCACGTGGGTGGCACTGACGCCGAATACGAGGCTCTGTGGCGCAGCAGCTCATTGACTTACGAGAAGGAGACTAAGTACTATCCAGGCAGGTCACCGCGTGGCTGAGTCCGCTAATGTCCTAGGGTTCGTATCCGACCCCTTATATTCCTTGAGCTAACAACATTTGGAAGGACGTATTGATGTTGTCGAGTCCAAGCCCCGCTGTTTGCAAGAACTAACTCTTCAGTTTATTCTTCGCTTACATGCATGAAAATGCTCACCATAACCCTAGCCCCGCCGACTGCAGGTAGCTCAAGCCCCGAGATAGCATACTGCAAGTCCAGCCACCTCCCCGTTCACATCTGATGCAATCCGCCTCCTCATGCAGCTTGCACAGGATACGCAGACACACAGCTGGTTCCGCCGGACAGCCCAAAGAATGGTTCCCCAACTGCCCCACGGCGCTTCCAATCACTCTTCAGTGGACAGACTCTCTTCCCCGGGACGAGAGTTGAAGAACGAAGAGAAAGTGCGCACCAAGTCCCCTAGAAGACTCCACCGCGGCCTCGGTCGAAAACCAAAGAGATAGTATGCACCAGGCCCCTGACTTATGAGGCAACGGAACAAAGAGAAGCCGGTCACCGTCCACAAACCGCATTTTACTCGGGTAGTAGAACTGGCTCTCTAGGACGTACGGTCGGCGCGTCTTGTGCGAGTATCGTGGGGGTAGGGTGAGCTGTTGGGGGTTGCTGGGATGAAGTCTGTCGCCTACTGGCTCAGCTGGATTCCTATTGGTGGAATTTTCAAGTGAATTTGGCGGAGCATTGTCGCTAGACAAGTCGCTCGAGAGTCTGCATACCGCGGGAATCGATTGGTGCTCAAGATGGTATGCAACGACATTCCAGACCGGATTAACGGCAACGAGGTAGGATCTCGTCAATCTGAAATCGAGCGTAAAAGTGTCTATCGTCCGCTCGGTAAATAACCCGTCGCGGCTCGGCGAGAAAGTCTGCATTTTGTAATGTAATTCTGGAGGGCCCTTATAGCTGACAACGACGAATGCCATCCGGCTCCAGGGAACGAGCACGTGTGGATTTGGCCAGCACTCAGTGTCCACCTGCTGTAGGATGTCCCCATCATCGCCGTTCAGGATTGTGATGGTGACCGACTTATAATGCCTTTGCGTTATAAGCACCAGCTCGCTCTGGCCATCGTGGAGAAGGTAGAAATCCGGCATGGTGGGCGGTGACGATCGCCCAGCCTGGGGCGCTTCATCTTCGAATCTCACCGAGTAGATCTGCTCTCCAGAAAGAAGGTCATAGCCCCGCAGTCTACCAAAGCTGGCGAAGTATATGCGCCGTCTACTCATGAGCCGCGGGGTGCATAGGCCCGGGCGACCTAAATCGCCCCACCGTTTTGTTTAAAGCTTCCGATCCTCTGGCAGAAAGTACAGAGCGACGCTACTGGGGGCATTAGCTACGGACCTTCTCGCACCTGTCGCTCAGGGAGAACGAGAGAAAGTATACCACAAGATGCGGCTCCTTGTCATGTAGTCCCAGCGTACAAAGAGGGCATAGCCGTCGGAATTAAGCAAAAAGCTTTCCCACCATTCATGCGGCTGCTCGAAGCGCATCCTTTGAGCGGCAAAGACCGACCCATCCTCTTTGAACCCGAGCCGCTGCCAGTAGAAGTAGTCCTCCCACATCTCGCCGGTATCGCCGGTCAGCCATGCAGCAATGTCTCCAGCTACGACTAGACCCTCGAATGCCTCAATCCTTCGGACACATGTTGGCTTGCCGGAGATGAGATTGTGCTCGGTGGCCGCTGCCGGGGGGGAGTATTAGTACATTTGTCGCTCAATCGTAATGCACGCGTACCGAGCTCTTTAAACCTTTGAACAAGGCTAACAGGATCTCTTGTCGTGCCCTGGTTTGACTGCCCAGGGAAATGGCTCGAGAACCCGGAGGATTCGATCCAGGCGTGTGTAAAATCATGCCAACCTATGCTAACGCGCTAGCAGCGAACTATGGTTCGAGCGTCTAGGTGCTAAAGGATATTGTCCAAAATCAGCCGTTGGAACGGGTCTCTGGATTGCATGGTTGAGAGTTGGAGAGAATTCTCCCAAGAGGATGGATTGAGGTAGCAGCTTGACTACAGACCGTATTCCAAATCCTTCGCGCATCACGTGGGAGGCTGAGCCACAGGCTTGGCGCATGCTTACACTCCACATCTAGCCGGTACACTGCATTGTTTTGCTCTTATTTAGATAGTATATACGTCTTTTTGAAGGTCGAGAATGGCACGACAGAAACCAAGAGTTGGCAGGTAGGAGATAAGAAATTGGTGTTGGTTGCGAGCTCAGCCAGGAGTAGGAGGGGCTTTTCGTAGCTGACAGGCTGAGGCGCTAACATTAGCGACACGTGACGCGCCACAAGGTTAGCGTGTTTTAAAGGTGGGAGAAAGGTGGGTGGCTGATTTCGCTTTCTGCAAGAAGAACTTCCAAGACCACAGTGCTCAAGATGCGAGTGCTGCCGTTCAACGAAGAAGCAAAGAAACCATCAAAGTCTGTCTTCCACCACGCATATACCTGGACTCAAATTATCCCTTCTCTTTGATTTGAATTCAAACAACTGTTGCTGATCTGGGGACTCCAGCCAGACGTGAGCTCTTTGGCGAAACGCTGGACGAGAAGGGCAGAAAATGATGTCACTCTCTACGCTACCCACGGAGGTCATGGCTCTGATTCTGAATAAGGTCCCCGATATTTTCACACTACTATCAGCTACCAAGGCTAGCCACTTCTTTCTACACGCTTTGAAAACCCGCGAGCGCCAGATCATCGCCTCCCCATAGTCTGGCACATGTTGAACGCGAGTGATAGGTATGTCCAGCATCGCTGGATGCCAAATTCTTCTTGCACTTAAATTTAGCAGCGTAAAAAGGGACGATCTAAGCGACAAATGACTCCTAATAAAGGCCTTCAAGTATCAGAAGCGAGAGAACTAATTTCATTAAGAAATGACCAGTTAAATGGCCAAGCAGAGGCGCTCATTAGTTCTACTTCGGGACCTTCAGCGCCCTTAAAACGCGTCCACCAACATGTTCTAAATGTAATATTAAAGGACACACTAGAGCTACAGTGGCACGACAAAAGTTTGAGTCGCCCCACCGCAGTGCGTAAGCGCTAGTAGATTCCGCCTTCCTAACTAAGCTAGTACGAAGATATCCAGAACTTAGTAACTTGTATACCAGCCATCTGCTTGAATAATTGCCTGTACACGATGAGGCATGGTTGCACACAGATTCCTTAGAACCCGGTCATCAATTGCATGCCAGGCTTCTATTGCAGCTTGGATAAGTCTCTGCAGGGTGTCTTCAGTATCTGGAGCCCTCTCTAGCTCAGGATAAAGCTCATAAATCTTAGCCTTCATAATGGCCCATAGATTCTCGATAGGATTTAAATCCAGAGAATAAGGGGGCCATATCATGACTTCCACGCCCATATCCTTAAGAAGATCCCGTATAATATAAGCTTGATGCACAGAGGCTCCATCATGCATGAAGATATCCCCAGGGCCTAGGATTTCTAGGAGAAATGCCTCATACACACCCTGTATAACCCATGTAGTAACCCCCCCTCGCGCTGCCTCAGGATCACTATCAAGAGGTAATAAGCCAGTCCATTGATTAAAGCCAAAGGCAGCCTATAACATTTGCTTCACACCCTTGCCATAGCGTACAGCATGCACATCTCGCTTAATAAGTTATTATCTTGGGGATCGGAATGTATATATCCTTCGCGTGCCAGCTCCTCGCTCAACCGAGCACTCGTTAGACCAGATAACTCGGTAGAAGTCCTCAGCAGTATATCCTGCATATATTTACGCCCATCTTAGTCTCTTTTCTACATTTGCAGGGGTAATTTCTGGCCGCTCACATTGCTTCTATTTCCGCATGTGTAGCGTGCGGAATAAGCGTTGAACTGTACGGACTGAAGGACTGCTTTGAACTGCCTTAGAGAGCTCACGCATTTTTATATGATGGTCCTGCTCCACTAGTTCTAGTAGATGTTGTTGCTCCTCTAGTGAGATCTTCTTAGGTTAACCAGATCGAGGAGAAGTTTGCTGGTTCTTCCGCTTATTCTCCCGCGCAATTGTAGTTCGAATCGTTGAATATGGGATCTGAGGATATCGGTGATGTATTTGCATAAGTGTCCATCCAATTGACTTTAGTTCACAAAGCCTGGCACGAATATCAGGCGTTAATTCCTTGCGTTGAGGCATCGTAGATAGGCCTGAATTACTTCAACACCTCGTCCAGCTTGCTACGCGTTGTTTCGGTGGGCAGAATAGCTTCCACTAAGACTAATTAGGAAGCGGTCCTATTAGCGTCTGCGGTGGGGCGACTCAAACTTTTGTCGTGCCACTGTAGGTGTCCTAATCGCCAGAAACTTTAGTTTATTTGGTTATATTAAGTTGTTGGTCATTGTAAATAGATTTAAGTTCGTCGAGTATTTTATTTTGGGAGGGGACCGCGGATCGGTGGTAATCCGCGGACTAAGCAGAAAAAGAGTCGATCTAAACGCCAGATAACCCCTAATAAAGGCCTATCAATACAAGAGGCAAGGGATGTAATTACATTGAGAAATAAGCAGTTAAATAAGCAAGGTGGTGGTTTAAATGTATATACTTCTTGTGCTCCAGAACCTTAAGTACACCGAAAGCGCGCTCCACCAAGGTGTTCTGAATGTGGTATTAAGAGGCATACTAGAGTTAGATGTCCTAATCATTAAAACAATTAATTTATTTAGTTTAATGAACATTTTGGCTGTTGGCAATAGCTTCAAATTCACTCAGTGTGGTCAAAATTGATGGGTTGAGCGCTTCGGTCGGGAATTACGTTAGCCACATGCATCCGCCACATTTAGTGGCTGCCTTGGCAATCACTGACCGCCTATTAATGAGGCGGCAATTTCCTAGGAAATCGTCGCGACTGGATCGGAAAATCATATCGCCTGCAGCACTTTGAGATTTCGAATGTAGTAGGTACGTTCTTGTTGACTGCCTTTTGGCCACCTATCGGCTTCACATTTCCTGTCGCAAGAAGCAGCTTGGTAATAGCTGTAAGCTGTTAGACCCTGTATACAGCACACCCGCAGTGCGGTGCCTCAGGCACCGCACCTGCGCGCCGCAGCTCCCGCTTACTGGGAACACGTGACGCAAGAACCACGTATTGTGGCTGCTAGCCTCACAGAGTGAAGACTAGCGATTAGTTTAGCTATAATTAATATACATGTTCTGAACCCTTATATTCCGCTTTATATATATATTACCCGTAGTTACATTAGCTATGGTTTATAGTTCTAATCGCTCACCCCTCATGAAGCCTGAAAATGAGTGGAACAGATAGTGAAATCCCATAGGGAGAGGATCAGGGGCGACTCACGTAGTCATAGAGCTAAAGACTTCAAGGAAAAACGGCCTCTAGTAACTTAACCACGATGATAAACCCAAACAATCTAAATAAAGACGTTAAATCAAGTAAAGATGCTAGAACAACACTAACTAATAACCCCACTAGCTAGGAGGAGGGGGAAACCACACAAGCAGCCCCTAAAGCCACAGGAGACTTAGTTAGTAATAAAAGTAAATAGACTCAGGGAATATCTCCTAAACCTAATAATAAGGAACAAGAGCTGCGGTAATAGATAGAGAATCTCTAATAAGAAATATAACAACGCCGCGCAGCCTGTTAATAAGAAATCAAGAACGCGGCCAGGGAACGCTATAAGAAGTAATTAAGAGATAAAATCTAATAACTTAAGGCTATCCAAGAGGGCTAAGCAAGCCAGGATGTGAATAAATTCCTCTACTAACTTAGGGAAGATAAGCCCATCAAACACCCCATACTAGTAATGCGGCCTATAGATGTGGCTAACTAAGAACCTATAATAGTTATAATACTATAACCCACAGAAGAACTATCTAACGCGGTTAAAGATAATATCTAAGCTCTAAAATAAGAAGAGTTCCCACGCTAAACGCTAGATATAAAACCATTTAACAGCCGTAGCCTAAAGGAACTTAAGGATTAGAAGACTACTATAGAGGCATACTTTAAAATCTATCCACAACACTATATACATAAGGAAACCAGGGTGCGTAGCAGGCTAAGGATAATCAGCCTAGACTAGTACCACGATTAGACTAGCGTGTAGGAGACATTAACCGCACCTATTACCTAGGAAGTCTTTACCAACGCGTTACTACGGATGGTTAGTGACCCACAGATCCTCTATAAAGACGCTATTATCCGCCATAGCACAGCGAGATAGATAGAAAACTAGGATATAAGATCCTTCTCATAGTACCTAAGGATACTAACTAATATCTTTAAACCTAATGCGTCCGCATAGGATAGAAAGGATGACTTACTAGGCAAGATACTACCCGTAGTATAGAATAAAGTAGTAAAGTATCCTATTTAGGACGCTATAGATAATAGCTATAAAAGCTACGTTACCCACCTATAGGTGGTAGAATAAAAAATGCCTAGCTAGTAAGAAGCTCTCTAAGCTACATAATAGAAGGGGAAGCTCTCATAAGTGTAGAAACTAGAATAACTACGTAGAGCATAAACTAGTTAACTAAAAAACCTAAAATAGGGAAGCCGATAAAGTCGCGGTAATTAAGGGGGTTATAAATAAAAACCATTATTAAACCACCCGTAAGAAGGTAAATATAAGCTAAAAAGGTGTAGTAACTACGGCCTGTCTAACCATATGGTAAATACCTACTAGAGACCTAGTAGAAAAGCACACTAAAAGGGACTATAGGGCAAGATAAAAAACTTGCAAACCTAGCGCTTTGCGTGGCAGCAGCGCTAGGACTCCCTGTAAATCTAACCAAGCTAAAGGCAATATCCTTTAGGATAAGGTTAGGCACGGGTAGAGAGCTATAATTAGCACGCGTCTTATTAGATAGTGGCGCTACGGCGAACTTCGTGAGCCAATACTAGGTTAAGAAGAATAAACTACAAGCTACAGGCCTACCTAAAAGTATTAATATAATTAATAGCTATAAAGTCATGTCCTATAGGACCCATTAGCTTAAAATAAAAGCGTGGGATGAATCACGCGAGCTATAGACGTAGAAGCAAGCGTTTGAGGTAGTAGACCTAGATAGCTATAATGCTATTCTAGGATGGCCATGGCTACAAGTGGTCAATCCT